AAAACCCTGGGGAAGATTGAAGACTGTGTTGAACTGGTACTTGTGTTCTGGGCAGGTGGAGAGGCAGGGAGGTTGAGGAGGTCTGCAACCACTGCAGACGACAGGGTGTGTTGCAGGAAAAGTTTTAAATGACCACCTCACATCAATGTACAATCTGAGTCTGCACCTCAAAACACGAGGCCAGTAGCCACGAGGTAATATCAGGACACCAGCAAAACTGGATTGATTGAGAGACTATGGCTCCAGAGTTCTGCTAATAACAACTAGAGACAAAGAGAAGGTTAGGACTGACTTTCCAAAATATTATGACTTTAATTAAATATATAGAATGAACTAGAAATAGAATAGTATGAGTGAATCACACACAGTATTAGTAGATATTGTTTAATAAAATAAGTACATATAGTCCACACACATATATGTATGAATATATGTAAAGATACATATAAATACATATAGCTATAGAATATAAACATATATACATACACGTATGTGCTTATGCATGTAAACACAAATATGATCTACATATACCATATATAATGCACATACACAATTGGCATAGATGAAAAATTTCTTCCTTACTATACGAATGAGGGTTAAAATACGAAAATCACTGAAGTGGACTAGGAATGGTTAGATAACTTCAAAGCTCAGGACCTACGCAAATTTCTTGCAGTTACTCAGCCTCTTCAGTGTAACAATAAGTCATTTAGTACACAAAGGTTTGAAAGGTCGACCTCTGGCTGGGGAAGAGCCTCCGTGGGAAGGTGTGTGTCTTCTCCCGGAGGTCACTACAATGGTGAGTGCTGCAACCCCGCAGGGAGCGTCTAGCCTGGGACCCGCAGCCATTCTCTGTAAGGGGTGCAGTTGTGCAAATGCTCAGAGGTGACAGAAATAGAGTATTTCCTAAAAGCAGGATTCGGGAAGAGGACCCTCCTGAGTGAAGACTGAGGGTTCACCCACACCCCATAGGGGGGCCACAGAATTCAGCTCAGCCCCTCATGTCAGCCCTGAAAGACCCCAGCAGCCTTGTCCCCCCACCACACCCTTCCCCCCACTGCCACCTCAGGAGACTCGGGGTCAGAACCTGGGTCTCTGCTGAGGGGTGCAGACCCCATCAGCGGAGGGCGGGGCTCCAGGCTGTCCCAGATCTCCAGGTGAGAACCTTGAGGAATGACTGAGCCGCCCCTCCCTGCCCCGCACTAGAATCCGGCTCCACCCTTGCAGTCAGCCCAGGTGAGCCCCGGGTGA